AGGTGATAAATTATAAAAATTAAGAAAAAGAGAATTTCGCATAATCAAAGAAAGATTATCGAATTAGAGAAATTTATATTACTACGGTAACACTATAAAAAAAGTGCCAAACTTTGAGACTGTGATTGAGCAGTCACAGTCGAATTAAATCATCATGTGATCTCTACATTTTACCCGGAATTAGTATTATTCCTAACCTGAAAACTTAAATTTGAAATAGATAGTGCTGTAAATATTTTTATTCGTTGGATATATAGCATCCGTTGAATTTTATCATCAGTAATACGAAAAAAAAGATCATAAACCTTTCTGGCTCTTTCCATTTTCTTTCGGAGTGCATGTTTGGTAACCTCTTTTGGAAGTTGATCTCTGACCTCATCATTGACCTTCTGGGCCTCATGCTCTTCCATAGTTTGTTTATAGTCGGTAAGGCGTTTTTCTATTTCCTCTTCAAAGTAGTAATAGTTTCTTAGGACCTCGTGGCGCACATTTGCATTATGCTCTTCGGCTTTGGAAATTTTTAAATACAAATCAAAAAAATTCGGGAATCCTCAACTTCTTGTACTGATTCTCTATGGAGTCCTTTCTTTTCCCGAATTTCAGAAATTCGAGTGGTATCAGAAGATAACTCCCGGATAAGCCTTTTTAATACGATAGAGTCCTCTTCCTTAATCACTTTCTTAACTTTCTTACTGAAAGATTTTTCAGTCGATTTATCCGTATCTTCATTAACCCGTTTTTTATTGGCAGAATCAGGTGATTCTTCAGCTGGCTTATGTTGATAATCTGTTTCTTCATTTTCATCCAGATCCATTGGTTGACCCTGGGATGTTGTTCCGGAAAAATTAATCTCAATATTACGGGTAAATTCGTCAACTAGAGTCGAGGTCCCACTTGTTTGAGAAGATACAGAATTTCGTCTGGAACCCTCATCAACATCAACGCTTTTATCACAGCCGGAAAAAGGACATCTACTTGGCACTGTATGCATAATTTTTTTCATTGGTTATTATTATCGACTTTACCCATTAACGGAATTAATATTCTCGGGATAACGATCTTGAATGAATCTCGGATGGCGATCTTGATGAATCTCAGATGATGATTAAGATACCCCTTATCACACACAAAATTAATTATCGGAAAAAAAGACTATTTAGGTCTGATTGCTTTATTAATATAATATAAAATACATGTGAAGCGGGGTAACTATCTATCCGCTATTTTTTGGTAATTTTTTCTCGTACACGACACCTCTTGCTTTCGGGTTCATCACATGTGGTTATTCTATCTTTCAATAATCCTACAACTATACTGATTACCTGTCTTATATCCTCCCTCAGATTTTCCTGATTACCCTTAAGTGCCTTTTTTGTGAGATCTATTTGATATTCACTATTGCTCGTACAAAAAATTCCTTCGGAAGTGAACATGATAAAGTGCCAATCCACACCTAAAAATAAATTCGATAATTAGTATAGCCAGCGTGATAATCATGACTTCGATTGTCCTATGAATCTGTTCCACATACCCGTTGATACAATCCCATATAGATAGTCATAATCCTCGGCCTTAAATGCTTCGTCCGCAGTTCACTTCTTCTTGTTCATATGGAAGGAACTCTCGAGTTGTTTTACATTTTGAAGGTAACCAATCTTAACATTCCGTGGTTTTCCCTCAGTGATACACAAAAGATTTTCCATTCCTGTTATGGCGTAATCAACCCTATCGGACGCTTCTTCACCCGAAATATCTCTCTGCAATTCTATATGAATTTCTTTATCTGTTATCCTCCGTGCGATTGATGCGTGTAATATTGATGAAATAAATTCACATCGAGTCGCCTCGTTGGCCTCTATCATTGATTTTACATTCGTTAACCGTAGTATTATTTCGTTCATGCATTGTTCGAGGGCTTTATCGTTATCATTTATTTCCGCGAAAACCATAAACAGAAAAAAATAAATTATTATATCTGAGATTCTCCTGATCGTGAACATGTGGAAATATCTTTCGTAGAAAGTGCACTTCGTGCATTACATACCTGGAGTAAATTGTTTAATACACGTAATATCATCCCCGTTGACCTTATATTTATGTAGAACATCCTTTAACTCTTCCACCGTTTTATATGACGAGAAGCTACGTAATTTTTGTCCCAGGCCTTCAATAAATTTTGCAAGTCTTGTGGCCGGACCTAATTCGAAACCACAGCGTTCAAGTCTCTCTTCTGTTAACTCGAGAAAGTCGAAACCAGCAATTTTCCGCTTGCGAAAAATAACAAGATCATCATCGTCAAGTTCAAGTCCTGTCCTGTCTACGCAAGTAATCAATAAGTTCTTCAGTGCCCAGGTTTTTAACTACGTCTGCCATCGTGCGAGTTGAACTTTCTTCCGTCAAAGTAGAGGATGTAGAAACTGGTGATGAAGGTGAAGAAGCGGTAGGTGAAGACGTGTCGTTTTTTATATTGATATATGACGTAAAAAAAATCTGGTTTATGTATCTCACTAAGTAAAGCTAGGCTAGGTAATGCAATGCTCGAAAATGAAAGTTACACAGAATGATCTGGAGATAGGACCCTTGTTAATGTAATCACACCTAACATATCGCGTCTACTTTATTATTACGAAGAAAAAAAATGCCTCGAAGGCGATAACTGATACAAAAATAAAATTTATATCACTGTTACATAACATGAATACAAATAAAAAAATCTATTTATTCAGCGCTTCGGTAGGAGTAATATAATCATTCAATTTTTTAGTAGAACGAGGGTATACAAGGATGTGAAAAACATCTGCAGGATAATTTTCATCAATATAGTCAGAAATCACGTCTTCAGGATCCATATTTTTATATTCTGTAACTTCATAGTCAAATACTTTAATATCGAGAGGTAAATTTCGATATGATTTTACTAAGCAATCTCTAACTTTTTTTCAATTATATCGTATGTTGCTTCCTCGGAAACATTAATTGTAAGAATAACTTTTTTATGTGAAATAACAATGAGCACACCATCAGGGATGATAAGGCAATCGAGATTAATATTGGTCATTTTTGCGTTTCCTGAACATAAAAATCCATAGTGAGTATATGAATCTCTTATACATAACGAATGGGGTGACGCGGAGTGATATTTATTCCAAAAAAGCCGTGAGCCCTTAGGTTCATAACACGTACAGTCGCCGCAAAAGTAACGCCCGATTTTTTTAAAAAATGAAATTTTCGATTTATTTCATTTCTGCTTTATATACATAAAAATTTTT